CATTAAAAATTCCTCGCTCTTGAAAATTCATAAAAGCGCGAAAATTTATTCGACCGTGTCCGCGATAGAATATCGAGAAGCGGAGCTCATCGAGAAGAAAAAAATATCCCCCGCGCTAAAAATTCAAAATATCGTCCATTAAGCGTTTTCTTTTTTTTTTTCTCTCTCCTTTTTCAAAAGAAATCTTCTTTATCGTGCATTCGAAGATTTTCGGCTCGATTTTTATTCGTTAATGTCGCTGCATTGCATCGAAAAATTTCGTATCATATGAGGTGAGCTCGTCGTTAATGGAAAAAAGAAGAAGAAGAAGAAGAAGATCGAGGGAGTCCCTCTCCAAAAGGCGACTAGACAAGATCTAGTCGAAAAATTATCGCGGTTAAAGGTAACAAGAAGGCGTATTTAAATCGAGCCTTATGGTTCGTCGGGAACGAGTAATCGGCCGAGATTAATTGTCAATTAAGAGGGATCCGTCGATTCCATCATCATCCGTTCCATTTCCGAAGCGAAGAAATATCTATCCGCCACTCGTTTCGACCTATTGTGTCGAGCGAGTTATTCTCCCCATCCCCTCCTCTTCATCTCACGGCGAGAAAAATTATTCCGAACGGTGCACGCCGCGTTTTATAAATTCATATCCCTCCCCCTCCTTCCTCAATTTTCAGCCTCATTAAGGAGAAATTATAGATACACGATCGAGCGAAATAATTGTCAATTAAAAAACGATTTTATATCCCATCGATCCTCCGCGAGATCTGAGAAAAGCTTTTAATTAATAACCGTTTCAATTAAGAGGCGTCTGGTCGTTTTAACTATCCCTGGGACACCGACCAACACCCCTCCCTCTTTCTAACGTAAACTCGTAAAATTTCGTTTCGGGGGGGAGAAAAGAAGGGAGGGGGGAGTTGGCTGGGCGCAAAGAGGCCCCGCGGTGGCGTTATTGCGGCCAACTCGAGAGAGCAGTCCGCGAAACGGAATGCGGAAAGGAATTTAGGAGTTGGTCGAGTGGCCGACGAACAGTGACGTACGTTTAATAACGCGGCTTGTATCTCGTGATACGGGATGTATAATACTGGAAAGAGTAATCCGAACCGGCGTTTATACCTCATACCAGTCCCAAAATTGATCTCTGAGGATTTTTCTTCTTCTTCTTCCTTTTCTTTTTTCAAACAAGTTCGATCTAGGATAAAACAAGATTATGGCACTCACGTGTACAACGGTACTCCGGCCTCGTCCCTGAACCAAAACACCATGTGAAGGGTGTCCTCTCCCGGTGGTGTGATGTCGCATGGCAACTCCGCCGACTTTCCTTCCACCACGCTGATATTTACCAATGGCACTGCAATCAAACGTTAACTCGTTAACTCGCCTTTCCTCTTACGATTCTTTTCTTGCAATACAAAAGAATCCAAGGATCTCGTTCTTCTCACCAATTTCCAATGTTTCGATGAAACGAGATTCCATTCGACTCGGTCCGGCGCCCCCTTGTTTCGAAATTTCTTGTTTCGAAACAAGAATCGAGGGTGAAGAGAGAGAAAGAGAGAGAGAGAGAGAGAGAGAGAAGAAGTCGAATTTGTCGCGGCCATTTACCACGATCTTCCGTTTATCGAGCGTCACGGAACTCGTGAAAATTTATCAACCATCTTAGAATGTTTGGGAGACGCTTCTTATTATTTATTTCTCCCTTCCTTCGGGTATAAATATCGCTTAGGGCCGACTGTTTACCATATAAACGCCCCCGAGGCACGCCACTCATTTGAATTCTCCAGTTTTTCCAGCTTGTAACGAGCTCGGGGTTGTACGTGCAACAGCGGTTACCTCTCCCCCCTCCCCCCTGGTTGGCAACCGGGGACCATCCGTAGTTGCTTTCCGCCGTTGAAAGCAACAACCCTCGGGAAGATCCTTCCCGGATTCGTTATAATTTCATGCGCGTATTTCGCGGCCTTGCTCGCGATTTAACGTTTCACCTACACCACTATATCGGGTATATATACGTATATACGTATATACGTATGCACGTGCACGATGGAATTTTTCATAAGCGTCACGCTTCTTCCATCCGAGATCCGCGTAATTAGATTAGCCGAGCGCTAACATTGCCTCCCTTCCTCCTTTCCTACGAAATTAAGGAATATAAGTAAAGGTGCCGTAGAGTTGAACTTGGAATTTGAATCTTTGGATATATCGGTATTTGGAAATTTTACTTATTTAAGCCATGGATCAACAGTTTAAATACCATAGAAGGCCGTTTCGATTAATGGAATTCCGCAACGCGGCCGCAATTAACCCTCAAAGACCCGAGGCGGTGGTCGAAACGTCGACCGGCGTGCTAATGGGGGACGGCGGCCTGCCGTGTCGCGCATTCGAAACGCATTTAATGAATTCGTTACCGGCTCCTCTGAGTCGCGCGAAGACGGCGATCCGAATCCTCGAATCGTTGCAATTTTCCTTCCCTACCTGATATGATATAACAATATAATATTATATAAATATTTTTATTTTAAATTAATAATAAAAAATATTAATTTCTGAAATTTTTTAAATTTAGTTTATTAGTAATGGTATTAAGATTATATTTTATATTTTTAAATAAATTAATTATTCTTGAACGATAAATTTATTCAATAAATTCAATAAAATTTAATTTTCTTATTTTAATTGATTATAAGTCGTTAATATTTGTATTTTATTAAATTATATGGATTTAAGAATATATTATATAGATCGATTTTTTTATTTAATAATTTTATTTTTAATTTCAATGTATATATTCATTTTAATATACCTCCTCTCTCCCGATGACTCGATTAAAATTATCGGCCTCGAATTGCACGCAACGAAGCCGAGTAACCGATCGATCGATCGAGCCGCGTTGCCAAAAAATTTCGAGTTCGACCGCGTGGAAAATGCGACGTTTTCCATCAGAGTTTGGACACACGTAAGAGAAGTTTGCCAAGGGGCGAGCGAAAAAGCGAAACTTCCCGCCCAACTTTTCGGGACGAGTTCCTCCAACTTCTCTGGCCACCGCGTCATCCATCGTTGATCATCGCCGGACGACCAACTATTTTCATAAATCTTCCATGACGGAATCAACGTAAGAATTCGCCTCTTCTCAATGCAAACAAAAGCAATCGACTCTCGATGCAACGTCAAAATTGCGATCGAGCGTATTACAATATTATCAAAAATTCTTAACGAAACTTTTAAAATAATATCGAGTCAAATGTATGGCCAAATACGACGAGAAAAGAAGAGAAGAAAGTTGAAATGGCATTCGTCGAGCGCGATACGCTGCAAGATCGATGATAGGGGGGGAGAAGCGTTCATCGTCGCTCGTGTCTCTGCACGAGGAGCAGTCGAGGGACAGCGAAGGGATAATGGGGTTCGTTTTAACAAGGCAAACGTTACGATTGTCAAAGAGGGGTCTGTGCGCCGTCTTGCTCGCAAATTAACTCGAGTCGGAGAACCGGTTGTTAGCCGCTATTATGCTGGCAATTCGTACAGTTGGATGGCTCTGGGAGAGAGAGGGAGAGGGTGAGTCCGTTATTTACGGAGCGACGTTCTCTCGCATCTCGTTGAAAGATTCGATTTAATTTGTCAATTTCACCTCTTAAATTAGAAATATTAGTAAAGGATTAATTCGTGAAGAAACTATTCGATACTCATAACGGTTTCGATATGGCGATATTGGACGTCTTTATCGAACGAGCGTTGGAAGGACGATTGGATCCGACGTAAGAAGAGGAAAATAACAGAAGCAGTGGGTGCTTCGTAGAAGGAGGGGACTTGTCTTTGTCTGTTGGGGGAGATTTCGTGAAATAAGAGGAGGGGGAAGAGGTTGGCTGTCTTTGAAATTTCGCCTTGTCCTAGCAATGGAGAGGACCATCGCGCGGGAGGAGGAGGCAGAGGAAGGGAGCTTACGCTTTATTGCGTATTTACATATTTTCACCGAATCCCCTCGACTCGTTTCATAAAATTCAACGTCTTTATAAGGGTCGGCGCTGTTGCCGTTCCCAGGACGCTTCGTCGACACTTTATACCTTTGAATTTCTGCGACAAAGATTTCTCCACCCTCCTCTAGGCAGTTGGAGTAGAGAGAGCGTTAGGCTCCCCCTTACACGTCGAGCGGATCGGTTCAACACTCTTGGAGACACGGAATCTCGAGATCCCTCCCCTCGGGAGGAGGAACGAGGATGGAAGAAAAATAGCCACTTTCTTTTAGAAAATTTAAATTTTATCGTCCCGACCCGTTCTTGGGATCGAATAATTGCCACCGAAAAATCCCGTCGAATTTTTCACTTTTCCTCCCCGA